ATGTTGTGGACTTCTAAAGGTCACAATTTTTACCCGATTTTGATAAAGCTTAAAATATATGTTTATATCCCGAAGATCCCGGTTCCTGTAGATATTCACATATAATGGACCCTAACTGCCTGGATTATGGCCCCTGATTGTACGAAAAATCGTTTGTCTATCTTTTGCAAAATGTGGGCGTGTCTTGCATGGCAACCGCTTGTTTGTTTAATACTTGAATACATGTTGAACATTGCAGTAAACCATAAGATCCGCATGTCTGTCTGTCCGTCAAATTTTTAGGGACACAAATGTTTATTAGGCCAATGCATTGATGGAGTTCGAAGATGTGCATTTTCTGCTTAGGGTAAGCAGAGATAAGCGATTTGATTGGTTGATGCTTTGAGACGCGTTGACTGTAGTTCTAATTAAGAGTGAGTGATGAAACTTGGTGTATAATTTCACTACATCAATACCTTGGCTAAGTTCGATAATGAGCATTTTCTGCTCAAGGTACGCAGAACGATAAGCAATTTGATTAGTCGAGACTTTGGAACACAATAATTCTCCTTCTACTTGAGTTATAGAATGTTCCATCTTGGTGTAGGCGTTTATTCGATGAATGCTTTTGGGCACGATAAATTAGGTTCTACTTAAGTGAGAGTGATGAAACTTGGTGTATAGTTTTTTTTACATCAGCACCCTCACTAAGTAGCGATAAACAGCTTGATTGGTCAAGACTTTGGGACATAACAACTCTGCTTTTAATGGCGGCAGAATGTTTAAACTTGATGTAGATGTTCATTAGGTGAATTCAATGACTAAGTTCAATGCATGATTAACATGTCCCACTAAGGCTAAGCAGAGCTAAGCAGTTTTATTGGTTGATGCCTTGGGACTAGATGACCGACATAAGTCATATGATTTCTATATATTAAAAACCAATGTTACTTTTCCCATTTTGGTAAACATATCTTTGACAACATTAATATACTTTAAATATATTTTATTTACCTAATTATTTCTCAAGTAAGATACGTGTTGAATTAAACAGACACTGGCATGAGTGATATATTGTTCTTATAAAAACATAAAGTCAATTAACTCTTTACAACCGAATATCAACTGGCCCCTGGGTTATAGAACCTTATTAAACCAGCCACTGGCTATTACGTCAGATATAATTTAGACGAAGCATTACAGTCTAAAAAATGGAGGGATTAAGTATTGGTCATTAACCAATCTCTCTATAAAACGAACTATTGTTTTAGATTTCAACTTAGAAGCAATATTTTATAGTTTAATTGTCAATGTGCCATAATTGTCTATTATATATTTTGTAGAATTGTATTTCAAACATAGAGTGAGCTATGGTTTAGAACGGATCGGATCTATCTCTTTCTTGTAAATATTTGTTGATTTATCTATGTTTAATAAATCACATAGAAGTTACTTGGACTCGGTCTTAATTTTATAAAGACCAGAAATAACGTAGTCACACTTTGATTCTAACTGATGGAGAGTGATGAAACTTAGTGTATAGATGACTGAAACGTCGTGTATAGATGACTGAAACGTCGTGTATAGATGACTGACTGAGTTTGATCGTGAACTTTTCCTGGTTAGAATAAGTACAGATAATCAGTTTGATTGCTTAATACTTTTGAAAAAGATACATATGCAATTAATCAATATGTGTCTTCTATTTATTTTGGGATTTCGGCGGGGGACATCAGCCTCACTGTTGGCTTGTTTGAAGAGCGTCGTCGTCGAGGAGAACAAGAAGAAAACTAGCGCTTGAGCCGTAGTTCATTCTCAACGAATTACTTTTGTGGCGGTTTGGGTATGTTACTCGACAGACAATAGCCTAATTACAAGCACAATTTTTAAAGGAGGTGATATCACAGTTATCTTTATTTATTTCAATATTACAGAACGATGCAACAACCAGCCTGGATACCTGCCATTAATTGGTGGAATATTTTGTATGAAAGCATCCAGCAATGCCTTACCATGGTCGACAGCTAAAGCAAAATGTGAGCAAGATGGTGGAAATTTGGTATTCTTGAAGCAAGTGGAATTAGCTCTAAAACTTGCAGCAATAAAGACGTTGTCTCGTAAGTACGATACTTTGAAATAAGATATTTGATATAGTGATGACCCCATAACAAAGTTAAACAAAATTATCGCCTGCTAAATCTAAGAAGTTTTCATTTATTTTTCAGGCATAGCCCGCTAATCAACACCGGCCCTTAAAATGACAGAATACAACTCCGTGATTTAAGGTGTACGTAGGGTTGTAAACTTCTGTGAAGTTGTATACTAAGCATGATGGTTTCTGTTTCTGGGGAACTTTAAACCGATAACCCAGTCACATAAACCCATCAAAATTGGGTTGTGCAGGAAATGTTGATAAATACCCCAAACCATGAATATCTATCGTGATTATGATATTGGTCTAGAAGGTTTTCACTTAATAGGAAGTTTTACAAAAACTGATTCTACAGCTCTGTACAATAGAAATCATACATAATGCATCGTAGTTGTTTTGTTACTTGTCTAATTTCCTTTTGACAGAAATCTTTTGGTGACGAACAAGCTTTCTGTTTTTCAAAACTCTTATCAACAAATCTTTATTAATTCTTATTAACGTGTATAACCATAAAGGGTCTCACATTTTTTGTTAACGGGGACTGCCATCTCTATATACGCGGGGAATGCTCACTAGTCTGCGGGTTAATTAGTCTACCGATATCAATTATAGGGGTTGGGTTAGGGTGGACTAGTCCGCGGGTTCATTAGTCCACCAATATCTATTGTTAGGGTTAGGTTTATGTTTTTTGATACCCATATTTATAGTATTTCGTATAAAGGCGAACTATTGCCCCCCACCCCCATATACGCCAGGGCCCGGTTCTTAGAATATTCTTAAAAGTAAGCCCAAAGTCATGCTTCACTTTTGCTTACGTGAGAAACTTTATAAAATACTGACTCTAGAAAATTCTCAAGACCGTTCTTGCGTGAACACAAGTCAAGTATGAGTCTAAGCACATTGTGACTGGTAATCTGAGACTACGATGCTCTCTAACGTCATAAAACAATTTTGATATGCAAATTACGTATTAATTGGTCGGCTGCATAGAGTTATAAATATATCAATGACATTAACTTCCCGGCAAATAGTCGATTTAGATGCATTTGACATGTCCCCTATACATATATAAAATGTGCCGCATTATCCCCTTCTCTCTTGTTTTCAGGTGTTAAGTACTGGATAGGGCTGAATGATATCATTACAGAGAATGAGATGATCTGGGTGGATGGTTCGACTCTCGATATCAACATTTGGAGTATCAATGAACCAAACAACGATTATGGAATAGAAAATTGTGTTTTGATAATGCCTTCGTTGAATCTGAACGATGTACCATGTTCGTATTCTTATCACTTTATTTGTGAATTTCCTTTCATGTTTACATTTTAAATATTTGAGAAGATCTTTACTAAAGTTTTGTTTTTATTACCTTATGTAAAAGAAAAAATATAATATATCCCTTGAAAGTTCTTGTTCGATATTTATGTTGGCATTCCAATCACTGGATTTGTGAATTTCCGTCCACAATATATCCCAGGCAAGTTAGTCTTCTACGATTTATTTTTATATTCGTCACTGGGTTCGTAGATGGCAATAAACTTACGAAATGATATCACAATAATATATGGACGTATATTACATTTTCACCATAGAATATATCGGACCGTAACTTCATTGATTATGGACCCTGACTGTAAGAAAAATTGCGTTTTAATGTTATTTGTTACTAAAACCTTTTTTCTTTAAAAAATAAATATGAAATGTGTTACACAATGAACTAAGTGAATGATAAAATTAAACTTTTACCATAGCATTATCCTTTAAGAATAAACTATTTATCAAGACTAGTTTATTTAAAATGATAAACATTGTTTAAATAGGTTTAGATGCCTGTACATTATGTGTACATATTGGAGTGAATTCAACCAGCTTTGATTATGCATGTATAATATAGTAAATAACTTAATCAATAAATAAAACACTAAAACTCTATTAAAGTAATGAAGGGTGGGTTTACCTCAATAATTATTTGGTTCTATAAAAATGTAGTTCTTAACTTTATCGATAAATAAAACACTAAAACTCTAAAGAATGGATGCATAGATTTACCTCAATAATATCTGGTTCTATAAAATTATAGTTCTTTTTGAAGTGGGCGAAGGTAGATAATTGATTGTACTATACAACATGAACTGGCCACGTAATTGACTGAATCTTTTATTTTACTTGATGGGCACCCTTCTTTACATGGTTTAATAATGGCCAAGAAATATTTATTGATTGAGGGGAGATAGTCATACCCGCCACCATCGGCTAACTTGTGATAATTGACGATCTTTGTTTAGTGTTTTTTTTTATGATTGTATTATCAAAATCTGTAGTATACTTCACTGGTTATAATTATTAATATTCGTTCTTTTATCTTAAATGCTTCAGAAACCATTACCATTCTTTTATGTTTATTATTACTGAACTTGTATACGTTGTAATCAGTTGTCAGCGATATCACATGACGTTAAATAAAGCTATTTCACACACAGTTGAAGGGGCTTACCCAAGTAGTGGGGCATGTTGCAAATGCTAAAAGAAAATTCCAAAGAACAACAGGCCCATGGCATTCGGGCAATTATCTAAAGATACGCTAAATAAGCACATCCTGAAAGGTACGATTATTGAAAGAAAAACCTTGCCGGACCGCCTTGGCAATTAAGTGATGCAATCACGAACACTAGCAATGGAATTAATAGGCTAGATGGACTAGCCACTATAAAATTTACACCGATAGATCAAGAGATCACGGGATATGGCATATACATACCCATATCAAAGCTGAACTAAAGGAAAAGGCTACAGAGCTAATGGCCATTAAAACGGCACTAGAATAGCTAGTTATGCTGACACACTAAAAAGCCGTTATACTGTCTGACTCCCCGAGTAGTATCAAATCCATTATCGAGCTCCTCCAAAAGCGTGGTTATTGCTAGTTGAAAACTATACCCAATACCCCGCGCTGACGACCTTTTAGTCGGCATGCGCAATTTTTGCCGGCTTCTACGGGAGCTAACACAAACCAAAAAGAATGTAAAAGGGGACGCCTTTTCAATTGTCGATTGAAAACTAATTTATTCAACTCGGTATTTCGATGTTTATTACAACAATATAATCACTGAGTGGCTATCGAAACATATAACTACCATTCATAATTTCTACTTTTCGCCTCTTCAAAACACGAAAGTCGAAAAGTAGAAGTTACGACAAAATGTGAGGCGACAACACGCTATACAAGCCAGTCAACTCGAAAATAGGAAATTAAGAAATAACACACAGCGATAATAGCGCCCCTCGTTTTTTCCTAATTTCTTATTTTCGACTTGCATTTTGGCATGTATTCCATCTTGTCGACTTCGACTTAGTCATATTTTTGTATTTATTGATGTCAGTAAGAAGGCATCAACACGCATACCAGGCCAAAATGCAACTCGAAAAGTAGAAATTAGGAAATTAACACACCGCGCTATTAAAGACCTATCATTTTGACTTTCGCCTCGGAAGTTGTTGTAGTCTCAATTTTCCAGGTCGCATTTGAATACGTGCAATCGGGGCTCACGCTGTATTTCATTATTTTCCGTCAAAATGGATAATAATTTTTATATAAAAAAAATATTCATATTTTTTTTCCGTCAACTGGGATATTTTATCTGCCAAAAATGTCTGATAACCCCTACCCCCTCCAAAAAAAACCCACCTTAGGCTACAACAATTTAATTCATTATAGATCCCTATTATAAAACAAATTTCCCGTACCGGTATATACAATATACAGCAACTTACAAAATCCGTCTTACATGGGGATTGGGTGGTCTAGTGGTTTAACACGTGCGCGTGAAATCACAAGGTCTGGCATTGATTCAAGTGGTGTGGTTTTGATTCCCCGCTTAAACATGAGAAGGAAGTAGGGTCGCTTAACCAACCTTTTGGGTTTTCTCCGGATACCCCAGTTTCTATCCACTGCTAAAGACCCCTACGTGCAAACGAATTATTGAAATGATTTAGTTCGCAACGAGTGAATGTTAAGCCAGTCTGGAGGTCGGGTTTTCGATCCCTGCATTGGCCGAGAAAGTTCATCCAGATTTTCCGGCGGCTTCCCCCTTGGCAGTGATGCAGGACGGGGGGGGGGGGCTGACAAGGACAACTGTCTAGTTGTTCGGATTGGACCAATACCGAGGTCACGTGTACACATTGGCGTGCACGTAAAAGATCCCTTGACAGTTGGGATTCGATATAAGAGTAGGCCGTATTGCCGCTGTTCGGGCAAAATTTCCCTTACAGCACACTGTATGGCGTATGTCCGTCTTCATTAGCCTAGTTCGGAGCAGAACAGTAGGACGTTAAACCCCAATTTCATTTAATTTCTCTTTCTCTCTCTCTCATCGCCAATTTTTAAAATAAAATTGCACCATGTTAGTCAATGAATAACTCTTAGTTTGTGTCGAGTGGACGTTGCCCCCCACCCACCTCTCTCTCTCCTCTATCTTGGACTTGGAAAGGCTATCTTTACAAGTGTTGTTGGACCTTGCGACAAACCTCACACGTTTGAGAATATGTAGTCCCCACTTGACATGGGGTTTAGAATCCTGACATCTAAAATGGGACAAAAACTTTTAAACTCTGTAAACGTTTAATTATGCAAAAATGTAGAATAATCTGATAATCATGGCAAAATTTACACGAATTGAACGGAATGAAAAATATCAAATTTCTAAAATAAATAAATGTGTGTGGTTTATGATAATACATTTTCACTCCACCGCTTGAGAACACATCTATTCTCGCAGTATTCTAACTTTTTCCCTAATTTTCGTTGGGTAGAACGCTTTCTACCACAGATGGAGCAACATATGGCAACCTCTTGCCCAAAAGCATGTATGAGGTTCACCATGGAAAACTTAAGATACACAAGCTGGAAGCAGAGATAAGAAAACATGGAATTTTGGTCCCTAAATTTCAACCTAACCATCCTCTCAACTCTTGTATCCTTCCGCCTCAAAATCATGAATATTCACCAAAACCTGGTAGAAAATGTATTTTCAAACCCTTTTCTTCGATTCTACACCAAAAAGTCAACCAAAATCGCCATGCAAAAGGGGGAAAGGGAAAGAATGACTAAATATAACTTTCGCCCTACATTAGAAATATTTGGTGAGCTGTGTCCAAATATGTTTTCAAGGGAGATAACTACTGCAGACACCGCGAAGATTATTCATTTGAATCAATTGTTAAATATTACAATATATATTTTTTAGAATATAAAATGCCACAATTTTAAATTATTAGATTTGTTTGTGGCATCGTGTCGTGTTGAATTGTGTATCATTAAAGAAAATTTGATGTAAATACCCCTGTATAAATTGTTAACTTGAATCATATTTATAAGTAAATTTGTTTTAAGTGAGTCTGATTTCTTTCCAGTCTTGTTAGCTTTGCGCAGTGGCGGTACCATGGCCAGTGAGGAATTTCCGAGGCGTGGTTATTGCTAGTTGAAAACTATACCCAATACCCCGCGCTGACGGCCTATTGGTCGGCATGCGCAATTTTTGTCGGTTTCTACGGGAGCTAATTACAAAAAAACGAATCTAGGAGACATTTCTGGACAGACGACCAGAAATAGATTTATTTAACAAAATATCACGTTTATTAACAGAATATATGAAAACAAAAACTTAACAAATATAAACATATCTTAAATTAATAAACTTATTGTTCATAATAATACTTTTTTAAATATAAACCCGCACTAACCAAATGTCCGATTTCACCAAGGTCTCCAAACACTACTGTTATTGTTTATAATATTATTACTAATAAAACTGTTATTGTTATTATTAGAGTCTACTGTTGTATTTACCAAGGTCTCCAAACACTACTATCATTGTTTATAATATTATTATTACAAATAAAACTGTTATTGTTATTATTAGAGTCTACTGTTGTATTTACCAAGGTCTCCAAACACTACTGTTATTGTTCATAATATTATTATTACTAATAAAACTGTTATTGTTATTATTAGAGTCTACTGTTGTTTCAGTTTTAATATTCTGTCTATAAGTGTGTCCATCTAATGGTACTGCTAATGATGGGTTATATTTAATGTAATTCTGGTTTTCACTTCTCGGTGAATATTGTCCAGTTATATTTGTTGATATTCCAGGATATTGAAGATAACATAGAGTATGATTATAATGTGTTGATTGGATATTTCTAGACACGTGTTGTATCAGAGCACATTTTACATTGTCCGACACTTCCGTTACACCATTTAGAAATGACGTCATTTCCTGGAAACATCGAGTAAATCCTTTCTGATATTTGATTTGTTCTTCTCTTGGAAAACTTGTAAACGAGTATTTATTTTTCTTGAGGAATTTAACAGCAGACTCCAGAATTTCGACCTTTTCCATTTTATTGGCATCAAGATCCTACAATATTGAAACCATAAACACATTCATAAGATTTAGGTAACAAATGAATAAGCGTCATTAAATTTAAAATGCTGATTCAGTACATTAAAATAATTTATTAATAGAATACATTTATATTTGAAGTAAGGTTTATAACAACTTACGGGTTCATAAGAAACTTCACTTTCACAAATAAATCCAATCTTATAAATTTAAAATATTGATATAGTACAGTTATATCTCAAGTAAAGATTAAAACAACTTACCGTTTGATAAGAAACTGAGTCTTTACATAACAAGTTTTTAATCTGGTCCAAACATTCGTTGATTCGGTTCCGTCGCTTCTTTTCAGCCAACAATTTTCGCCCTTTTCTAAAAGAAGTATAAGAACGAGATTCCATGATTAAAGTTTAATCACGTAGATGTGTTTAGGTAAAATGTTTCAAAGTTTAACTGATGAATTATTTAGAAATCAGTTATTTTATACCATTCCTTCACATAACTGTAAACAATAATATCACGTGACTACTCGACGCCATTGAAGCGTGCCGTTACAATCAGCCAATCAGTGACGTTGATAGTGTATCGGCACGCGAGTAGATTAGGCGCTAGACAGAGGTTAGGATCATCCTAATTGTCTGGCACAATCTAGAAGACGAGATTAATGGAGAAAGTTGGCGTGACACTTGGCGTGTGTAGTAGATATGACATCAAGTAGATAATTATTATAACGGTGTTTACAAGGAAGTCAGACTAAGCAACCTTAGGTCATACGACAGGTGGATATCGATGGTTGTTTTGGATTGATTATACAGTACAACGAGTTTCAAAGTTTATATATTATTTCATATTGAACTTTTTAGCATCTTTTATTCCATATAAGTGTGTCATGTGTCATTTTCGTTCACTAACTAAGTGCCGCTTAAACTGTTTTTTTTTTCATTTTTTTGGAAAAATAAACTTAATACAATTTTAGAATATAATGTTGGAATATACGTGTATGAAAGTGTCACTACTTGATTTTTAAAATATTTAACTGACAATAAGTCTTTTTTAAATGTTGTTCGAATCTAGTATTAAAACAAGGTTAAGTATATTATTATTATATTTGAATCATGATCGATATCTATCACCACATTAATGCCTTAAAAACTGGGGGGTTGGATGGCCGAATGGTTAGCGCGTGCGCGTTGTATCATAAGGCCAACTGAAGTAGTTTCGATTCCCCGGTTTTACTACCAGTGCTAAAGACCCCTACGCGCATGTGAATTGTTGAAAGAAAATTGAACCACGTATTAGTCCCGAAATGACGTGGTTTGTGTCGAGCGGACGTTAAACCCCGTTTCTCTCTCTCGCATTGTGAACCGTTCAACTACAGGACGGGGCGGGCGACAACATAAATCCTTACATATATGGTATGGGTATAGCTACTATTTACCGACTGACAATTTAAAGGTTTCAAAGAGGTAATGCGAAAGCCTTCTGTTGACTTTGTGCAAGATGACTGACCTTTATGTTCGTGTGCCGTCACATCAAAGGGCTTCGATAACACATGCATTGTGTTTACATCGGTCGTAGTAATACTAACTTTCCCATTTA